TCTTCCGACGGGAATAAAGGAAACGGTTTCCGCTTAATAAGACACCTCGTCGAGCACGGTGGTCTCCGCGTTGTGTATCCACGCAGCCGCGTCTCTCGCGTCATTCGTCTCCGGCGTCTGCCGGCTAGGCTTGCCAGAACACGTCGAATCGTTTCGCCAACGACACGCACGGGGTTCCACGGCTCCTTTCTCCGAGAAAAGGAGATTTGCGACGCGGTGTCACCAGAGACGAGACGACGCGACGCGACACGAAACGAAACACGGCAAAGGGAAACGAAGGGAAACGAAACGAAAGGAGCGGAACGGGGAGGAAAGGAGACGAAACGGGACGGGACGATAATGAGCGAGCTAAAAGCGATTTAGCGCCATGGCGCTAAGTGTTTTGTCGCCTCGCGAACTCGGTGCTAACTAATGCGGTTCGCTGAGGACGCACACCGCGTCCCTCCTTTCGCGCCTCTCACCTTTACCGTCTCGGACATTCGTGAATTTACCAGCACTCGCGTACGCACCACCTAGCCACTGCCACACACGTCGCTCGTTTATTAACATCGCCTTTTCTCGTTCCCCTGTTGCTCGCTCTGCGCCTCGTTTAGAAACTCTCTCGCGGACCGAGCTCGAGAAAGTCGGCAATTCAGCTCGAATTTAGCCGTCACTCGGCATTGTTCGTGCAATTGCACCGAGGGCGATTGACACGGTGGAAAAGAGACGAGAGAGAGAGAGAGAGAGAGAGAGGCGAGAAGACCTGCGGTGGGTCCTCGTTGGACCGATTTTTACGATTTATCCATGGCTCTGCAGCAAAGGTGGTTGGCTCTCGTGCACCCTCGCCACAGGAAACGACGATACGCGAGCTATGAACGGCGATTATGGGGGAAGCGTGTCTTCCAGCTGAAAAGGGAAACCCCAATTTTTCTCGCTTCCAAGAGTACCTACCCGTTGCTAGGAGAAGGAAATTGCCCGTAACTAAAGCGACGCCTCTGGGTGTCTACCGACAGCCGGAACAGCACTCTTTCTCCCCGTCATCGTCGATTCTTTTCTCGTTCCTCACGCTTCTCCATTGTCCGCCGGTTTACCAGCCGCATACCGATCCGCGTTCTCGATTCGAAATACCGAAGGTCGGTGTCTGCGACCGACTCACGCTACCGGTCCCCCGTCTGGCCCACGCGATCCTCCATCCGCCATTGTCGTTCTCGAACGTGGAAAACGCGGAGAACGAGAGTCGTTTGCCGATGAACGGGCAACGAGCGGGCTACTTTCCCGGCGGACTGTACCCGAACACGCCGCGAAGACGCGGTCCGAGGGGCAGGGTGGATCGAGAAGCCGGTATCTCCCACAAAGGGTTGACAATAGCAAACAGTTTAATGTCCCGTACGTTTATTGTATCTCGGCTACCGTGGCTTTAACTCGGATCGGTAGCCGGAGAAAGGGTGAAAGGAGGGAGGGAGACGGAAGGCCGGGATGGAAAAGGAGATCGGAACACCGGGACAGATCTGTTATTCTGTTAGACTCTGCCCGTTCGCCGGTGACATTTGAATGCTCGCTCGATTTTACGTTGGCCAAGGGAACGGAGGAAGAAGAGTCGGCAGAGAAAACGAGAACTTCCATATCCCTCGCGTCGTCCTCTCTG